ATGAAATAAAAAACAGAGAATGAATAGGCAGAGATCAGAAAAGCTAAAAAAAAAAAATTTTTTGGTTCAACAAGTAGCAATACAATATTTTCTAATGGTCTAATCCAGGTTATGGCTGAGGAACTTTGCCCAGAAAAATCAAAGACATGACTAAAAGAAACTGGCCCCCGAACTGAAATTTGATAGTTAATGCGGCTCTCAGACTGAAAAGTTTGGAGACCCCTGATCTAGATTATAGGCTATTAATTTAAATATTTCTGTAAGTGGAAGTAGGCCTTTGTTATTCCATACATATATCTATAACTATAATCTATTAATAACTTTGTATGCTTAGCCTAAATAATAGATAAATGAATATTTAAAAAATAATTAGGGCCTACTTTGTCAATTTTTTAAAGGTTTAATTTTAATACTTAGGCCTAATTAAGATGATGATCTAGTTAGTAGGCATAAATATTAAAAATAATAAATAGGCCCTACTACTTAATTAAGTTGGGGAGGCTCTGGGAAGTCTGGGTAGAAATCTAGATATAATATTTATTATTTAGGCTTAAGACTTAGGCCTAATTAAGCTAATTATAATTATTAGACCTAATTTAATTGTAAATAGGCCTAGGCCATAGAATCTAATAATTACTAATTAGTCCTATAAAAATTACTAGGCCTATAAATCATTAATAGTAGAATAGTAGAAGTTTAATAATGGGCCTATAACTTTAATGGCCATAAGTTTAGTTATTTAATTTAAGATTTTACATGATGAGTTAGGCCTTAGGTAGGAATGTTGGGATATTTTTCCTAATTACCATAGAATGATAAAATGTACACAGATTAATCCTATAATATACCCCATTGATAAAAATACCAAATTTATCATTCTAGGCCTAATAGTTTTTTTTATATGAATTTTTAAAGTTATGTATTAAACCTGTTATATATCACTGTAACATCGGATTTAATTGTGTGATTGGCTTTAGGCTTGCATACCACTGCTGCTATTCGAGATATAATTATAAAACTTTGCACATTAGTGCTAGAGAGTGTGGGCAATAGAAATATGAAAGTAAAATCAAAATTTGATGAAGGATAATTAGAACTAATCAAGTCAAATTAAAGTGAGGGGTGCTGTTCTATATAGGTCAATATGCAGACTGAAAGTCTATGTTTTTTTTTTTAATATTAAAATTGAAACTTTGCTAGAGGGTGGGGGCAATAGAAATATAGAAAAAAATTATATTAAGTATGACTGCATATAATTAAAAAGTCCTATGAAAGGGTGTTGCAACCTTTTATAGTAATTATAGTGACTGCAACTGACGTATGTCCAGAATGTTACTATAATAGATAGGATACATTTTGGTTATTGATACTGAAGCATGTAATAAGAAGAATGCTGAAAAATAAAACTAGGGATGGTGTGTTAAAGCACTCAACTACTAACATGCAAGTCTTAAGCTCAGATCTCAGACAAGTCTGTGCAGCGTGCAGCATCCACCAAGCTCAGATGAGTACCTGACACAAGGGAAAGTAAAGATAGCTTGGCAGAGAGCTAACCACACCATCACTTCATGTGCATGGGTCAAGAAACAGATAAACTCTACTTCAGCTGCTTTATGGATGATGGATTGACAGGTCCAAAAGGGAAACTACTTTAATATACTAGGGCCTTTATAAGACCCTATTGATATTTTGGTACAACTAAATTACTAATCAATAGAAAAACCTTAAATTCTTGTAAAAGTTTATTAAGCTAAGTGTTAATTTGTACCAAATCAGAAGTTACAGCTTCCCTGTCTATCTGCTTATATGAATATATATATTGGCAACATGCAGTGATTTAAATCCGTATTGTTTGTTGTTATTTGTTTTTTGTTACATTTTATTATTAAATGTAAAAATTGTATCCTAAATTATTATGAATAATAATTATCATGCCTTTTTCATGTCATTCTAAATTCACTGCCTTATTAATTAGTACCCCCCCCCCCCCCATGTCAATTGCTGCACCTTTTGTTAATTATTTACTAATGTCATAAGCATAATTATTACAAATAATTAAATAAGTTTATCACCAAGCTTCTTTACTTATCATAACCAATAATAGGCCCAGACTTACTGTATCAATCGATACATATAGTATATATAGCATTAGTTATACTAAGAAATAGGCCTATAACTTATTTATAGTATAAAGTATAATAGTATATTAAAGGCTATTAGTATTAGCCTTAAATCTAAGTAAGTAGGTATGTGTGAAATGCTTAACACTATTTAATGTAAGCCTAAGCTTCTTGCCTGTCGGTTTTAATAGATAACTTGATCAACGTATTGTATCTAGTTTTAACAGTGCCACCCACAATTTAAATTCTTTCCAACTTCGAAAACTACGTCATTGGCATTAGTGCGCGTATTTTATCGATAATAGGTAATGCCGTGCTAAACCGACGCCATGGCGTTGTCAAGGCCGAAGCGCTAGCTCGGGGATTTGACATGTATGATAACTCGTAAGCAGAAGTAGTAAGTGCCATAAAACCGTTATTATAATAATATTTGTTTATTTAATGGACACTTACAACTAATGGCAAGACACTTATAAAGGGTTTAATATTAATACGTAAACTTATTTAAAATGTGACAGCACCGTACTGGACATGTTCGCGAGATAAACTCATTAGATTCTAATGATTAGAATCGTGCGATCGATTTCGGCTTAAAGATTGTCATAATGGCGGTAATTTTCTAATTGAAACATATAATACGACCACACTAGAATATCTATATCGAATATTTCTAAAAACTCGATTCCAACAGTGAGATTCGGCATTCTTCGGAAAAGGGCGAGTTTTTATAAAGACTGCATCGAAAAGTCCGGATGTTGAATACCGAATCGAAACAGCGGAAGTCGGAATGCCTAGCCTTAGGGCATTTTTTTTTTTACTTTTTTTATTTGATATTTTTGTCAATTTTAAATTTTAGTGTGAGCGACAGTCTGGCATTTATTTTTAATGAATACAAAACAATATCTTTGGAAATAAAATAAAACGGTTAGATTTTAATTGATTCTCATATTCAGACATATTCATACTGTACTGTACCCAACTGTACTGTGATGACTTACCATACTTGCCCATAGGCTCCGCTACCAATAGGTGTCAATCTTTTGTATCGCACGGGAACATCCCAAGAAGTACTGACAAGTTCAGTGTGATAAAATCCAGGCTTTAAATCGTTGCCAAGTATCTTTTTCAACATTGTAGTTGTTGTTTTTTCAAACAGTATAGAGTCTGCACATCACCTTATTTTCTTTGTATACAAGTATGAAACAGGTGCAAATAGTGTTTGACCCTATGCCCTATATAATAGAATCTAATACAAATCTATAGACTGCCTTGGCCTATAGAAAACCAAATGTTAGTCACTTGTCCAGGAAATAAAGTTTGGTGTCCCCCGAGTCACGAACCGTTACTGCTATTTAAGACAACGACGTTTTTGATTGGAGCGCTCGCTATTTCCGTTAAGATCCCCTCCCTCCCACTTTTTTTCCACCAATTTTCCGCACTCGCTTGGCCGACTCAGTGGCTAGAATGATCTCAAACCTGACGTCATTCTCTCATAATATGGGTCATTCGACTTTTTAAGATAGAAATAAGTCGATAAATTTATTTTGAGCCCAAATTACGGGCCCAAATAAACCTTTGCCTCAATTTAAATTAACATTCATTTTTCCTTGATAATTTCACCTACATGAATAAAGTGGGTCTATAATTTATAAGGTACTTTTTAATGATAACCCTAGAACTACGTATAAAAAAGTAAGCTACGCCTAAAAATTAAATGAACAAAAAAAAAATCGTGATGACTTAGGTTTGCCAAAATACTCCATTGTTTATCTTAATTTTAACTTAAACATAATTTCCATATCAAGTTCGGCCGGCTAGCGAAACTAACATTTTATTGGTATATTTCTGGTGCCAGCCCTCCTAAAAGAAACAATGGTTTTATTTATTTATCTTTAGATGCATGCCTATGCATTTAGAAACTCAACTTTTTTTTTTTAATGTCAAGGGAAATAAAGATCGCAATCACTGTAAATCAGTAGCAAAACCTATTAAAATACAATGTTATCGATAAACATCCGAGTTCAATTTATTCAATTTAATTTCAATTTATTAAAAAACTGTAACAATTGTAGCATTAGAAAATGCGCATAACGTGCGTACGTATTATATATAGCCATTTGATTTAAGTAAGTTCAATGTGTCTAACTAAATAATAACAACAACATGTCACAAAGTTCATACCTGTGTGCTTGCTGATCTACCAACTATAGCATTTCTAAAAATAGTTTGGTGTTTTGCTCAATAAGTCTTATATTAAAATGTGACATAAAAAGTTGCATACAAAAACGATTTCTTTTATATTTCTAAAATTGTAAAAATAGTGGAACGGTAGGCTAAATATTATTTATAATTATTCTTTTAAAGGGAGTTTTTAATGGTCATTGAACTTAAAACTGGAGCAAAACTTCTTGACCCCCCCCCCCCACACACACACACACAGACACACGGTTCCCCAACTACGCACTAAAATAGGGAGGAAACACACGGGGCACATAGATCTAGATTTAATTTATATTCAGACTTGTAATCTAGATGTCTAGTTAATTTTGTAAAATAAAATGTGCTCACATTTTAAATTAAGGCGATTATCACTGGATCCATGAACCATTTCTTCATTTTAAAAAAAGTTTTTGATTTGGCTCTTTTATAAATATATTATTTTTTAATTAGCCAATTTGTATGTTCTTGTTCTCTCTGTGTGTAAGATGTGAAATATCTATATTACTAAATAACTCATGGGTGGTAAGATAATTAGCCACAACGCAAAACTGCAACAACAATCACAGGTAACTCCTTGCGTCTTTCAGTCATTTGTTTTAATTGGGTTATAGCACTTACTATCATGCGCAATCTTCCAAAAATTATTGTTGGATACCGGAAGTAAGTCTCAAGGCTGACTAGACTTAAACTGACGGAGTAAATATCTGTTTCCTAGCTTTGTGCACCAAAATAAACAGTCTATTTACTGAGTATTGCATTTGTTTTGCTGCAGTAGCAATAAGTGCATGGACTAATGGCGGATACTGCACAACGCAAGGAAGGACTTGTGACGGTGGAGTTGAATAAAACTATATGGGAGGTGCCCAGCCGATACACCATACAAAATCCTGTTGGAATCGGGGCATACGGCCAAGTCGTGTAAGTTTGGAAAAATACTTTACGACGTAGACCCACAGTTGCACAAAGATATAGTCTAGCTATCACTGGTTTTATTATTTTTATAATAGTAGTATGCACTTAAATTGAAAAATGCAATTGCCCGATACAATATATTTTATATTAGAGGCATATCATCACTCACAATTGAATTAATCACATGAGAAGTCAGACATTTTTCATGATGATCTCATCAAATTCAAAGAACAGATTTATTCAATCTCAGCTCAGTGGACATTACCGATTTTACAAACATTGTGACATTATTGTTGACATTGACAAAGATGATTTTTTTTTTTAGACTTTCAAAAGTTGTTAAAGCAACCATAAAAAAATAATAAAAACCAAAACTTAGGCCTAAGCCTGAATTGAAAATAATTCAGAAATGTAGGCTAGACTAATATTTTTTGGATCAATGACCAAGTCCAATATGTTATAAAAGTTGCAAACCCAGAGAACTTAAAAAAAATTGAGTTTAGGCCTAAGCTAAGTCAGTCTCTATCTATTTTCATCAAGGAGAATTTTATAACCTGCAGTTTCATTTTCGTAAGACAAACGTTGGTTGGATGCAGACTATAGAAACTCTATAATCAATTTTCTGACAACTCATAGTCAGTAGCGTAGCGAGGGGGGGGGGGGGGCGGGGGGGGGGGACATATGTCCCCGGGCGCCGACCTTAGGGGGGGGCGCCAAATTGAAAGTTTGAGGGGGGGGGGGTGCAAATGAAAAGTTCGAGGGGGGGGGGGGTGCAAATCGAAAATTTGCTCTCGAGGGGGCGCCAAATTGGAAGTATGTCCCCGGGCGCCGGGAAGGGTCGCTACGCCTCTGCTCATAGTTATTTCTTCTCAAAAACTATCTAATAAAATATAAAAATGGCAACAAATTTGTTTTTGGATTTTTAAATTTGTTTTGTTTAGGCCCACAGAAAATACAAAAACATCAATTAGGCTTACCTACATACAATCTTTAGTAAAGTCTAACAAAAATCAGTCAGTCAGATTTTTATAACCTTATTTATTTAATAACATCATTTATGAATTTAAAAATATTTAATGTGCATTTCAAATATCAAGACCATTCTCGGTTGTGTTCATTATTTCAATCTAGAGTTCACTCTAGATATTAGATACTAGTCTAGATCTAGAATTAATTTTATTATGTTATATCTATATTGAGTATATCTAGTCTAGACATCAAAATATGAATCAGCAGATCTAAATTCTAGTAAATTTTCTCTACCAAAGACCTTTTTTTATTCACGTTACTTGATTCTTAGTCATACTTACTCAGTCAACATTTCACTTCTTAATAAAAGCCTGTTTTTTTTAAAAGCTGGTTACTTGCATTAACTTACTTTTTTTTTTACTCAAACCTACATATTCATGATCTGCACTTTTACTTTTCTTACATTTTAAGGCCACACTGGCCACAGGTTGTCTTACCACATGTAATAGTAATTACACGCTGAACTAAATTAGTCTAATGGCAAATATACACCCATAAATTGTTTTTTACTTTTTAATCTCTCTGCAGCTCTGCACTTGACAGACATACTAATATGAAAGTAGCAATTAAAAAATTGGCTCGGCCTTTCCAAACAGCTATTCATGCTAAAAGAACATACAGAGAACTTCGTATGTTAAGGCATATGAAGCATGAAAATGTAAGTTAATATAAAAGGTGCATACCTTTATACTTTTTGCTCAATGAAATCAAAATTATTGCTTGCACTGGAAAGTAATTGTAAAGTAATCAGTTACTAGTATACTACTCTGTAGAAGCTGTTATTGGTGTAAGCTTTCTGTTGATCAATGTATTGCATTGATAGAAAGTCAATGGGATGCTTACTCACAATCAAGTCTGCTAAAAGCCGAATTTTAGTCAGTCAAATTTTAGTCAGGTGTAAAATTGGAATTTCTTGTTTTCCAAAGGTGATTGACCTGATAGATTGCTTTACTCCAACAGTAACCTTGGAAGACTTTACAGATGTGTAAGTCATTATTTTTTAACTTTGCAAAAAAAACAAAAAACTATTCCTATAATAAGTACTCTTCTGCTGTGCTAATTTCTTGAAGCTGTTTACAAAATAAACAATTTCAACACTTGTTGTTCTTATTACCATTGCTTCTTTATAAATATGTATTTGTTTAAAACATTTATAATTTACTGAAAAAATAATTTATTTTAGATATATGGTGACCCCATTAATGGGAGCAGATCTCAATAATATACTTAAAACACAGCGATTAAGTGATGACCATGTACAATTTCTCATTTATCAAATTCTCAGAGGATTAAAGGTAAGTCTACTATAATTTTATTTTTTGTGAGACACATTTTTAATGTAGATACATTTCTAAAACTTGAAAAAAATAAGTATATTGTCAACGGTTGTTTTCTTTTTTACCCACAGTATATTCATTCAGCTGGAATTTTGCATAGGGTAAATATTTCTTACCATATCATCTGTTTTTTATTTTAAAATATATTTTTAATTTTCTAAAATTATCTTCTTATTTAATTTATGAGTTAAAAATAATTGTTATTATAAAGGAATTTTTTTTTTCTTTCTAGGATCTTAAACCTAGTAATATTGCTGTTAATGAGGATTGTGAATTAAAGGTATTTTGATTTTACTATTTTTAATTATTTGTATTCGAACACCTGAATGGACAGCATGGTCTAGCGGTAGTGCACTAGATTGCCAACACGAAAGCCTCGAGTTCAAATCCAAGGTTCAAGTCAGTATAACATCTCTGAGTCCACACAGCTCAGATGGGTACCTTACTAACATTAGGGAAAGTAAAGGCGGCTGGGCATTGTTGTGACCACACTATATCTTCAAATGCAAATTGTCACAGAAACTGATGAACTCTACTTCATTTGCCTCATGGACTGTCAAGCTCAAAAAGGGAACTTTACTTATGTTATATTGGAACAGCATTGTAGAATAAATGGTTGTAAACCCAAAAAGGCTTGATCTCAGTTCTTGGCATTTAGAGTTAGTACAGTGTTAGTATAAACCCAGCTTCCACTACCCCATTCCCTGGTAATTACATATTGTAACTTGAATATATATTACTAATATTAATATAGTGTACTATTGGTGAAAATTAATGTGGGTGGGGTTAAAGTTCTGCCCCTTTCCTTGGGTTCTAACTTCCAATTACTACCATTTTGAGTCTGGAAAAGTAATTCTTGGCTGGAGTTGGTGCTGACCATATGATCAATTTATACGTAGCGGACACAAACAGATGCACTGGATTTGTTGGTGGTCCATTCTGAAAAAGTACTTTAATAACCATTTATAAAACAACCCAAAATATTACATCTTTTTAAATAAGATAAACAATAAGAGTAGTGTAATGCAATCACTGGGTAAAGAAAGAGCAACTGTATAGAATTAATTTAAAAACTGTATCAGTAATTAATTACATTTGAAGTTGAAGTACAACATACACATGATGCAGACAGGTGCACACTGATTGATGAACTGGATTGGTGACTTGTTTTTTCATTGCTGAATTAACAGTTATAGCAATAAAGGCAGAATTACAATCTATAGTTAAGGTAGTTTTACAATTAAAATCTGATCATGTTTTTTGTGTGTTCTCTTTAGATTCTTGATTTTGGTCTTGCACGACACACAGATGAAGAGATGACAGGATATGTTGCTACAAGGTGGTACAGAGCACCTGAGATCATGCTCAACTGGATGCACTACAACCAGACAGGTAAATATATTTTTATCTCAAACCTGTAACTTTCCAGATTACTGTAACTGTAGAGATTAAATATTAATTGTTTAAATGCTGGATCTGTTGTTACAATTGTTGATTTGTTTAAATAATTTGTTGCCTTCCAGTGGATATATGGTCTGTCGGCTGTATCATGGCAGAAATGTTGATGGGCAGGCCCTTATTTCCTGGCACTGATCGTATCTTTTTAAAATCATTTTCTCAATAAAACAACTTAGAATTGCATGATTTTCAGATTGTTTTTTAATCATAATTTTAAAAGCCATCCATTAAACCAGTTTGAATAGAAGCTCTTTTTTAAAAATTAGTATTAAAGATGCAGCTATAATATAAATGATTTCCTTAATTAATATTAGACATTGATCAGTTGACTCGAATCTTAAATTTAGTAGGCACACCTAGTGATGAACTGATGAAAGAAATTAAGAGCAATGATGTAAGTGTGAAATGTTTAACAGATCTAGGCCAGCCATTGTAATTATAACATAGTATCCATTACATAATTGCTGTCTAAAGATTGTTTCGGCGTAATTAATTGGAAACAAAAACTGTCAAAAGATTGTTTCAATGTAATTAATTGGAAACAAAAACTGTCAAAAGATTGTTTCCACATAATTAGTTGGAAAGAAAAACTGTCAAAAGATTGTTTCAACATAATTAATTGGAAACATAAATGTTGTTTCAGGCCAGGATGTTTATTAAGTCATTACCTGTGATGAAACCAAAAGATTTTAAACAAGTCTTTACTGGGGCAAATCCTCTTGGTAAGGTTATTTATATTTAAACATCTAGGTTTTCATTTTTATTGTCAAAGAGCAGTAGTTCTTATCCTTTTTGAAAATTAGAAATTAGTTTTTTTTTAAAGTTATTTTAATTTATATTAGTTGATCTTTATTTTTGAAGCTTTTTTTAAATTGTTAGTTATGTTATCTCATTTTAGAATATTTATGTATTACAGCCATAGATTTAATGGAGAAAATGTTAGATTTAAATACAAAAACAAGATTAGATGCAACCCAAGCCCTAGCCCATGAGTACCTCAAGCAATATGCAGACCCTAATGATGAGCCTATTTCTGAAAAATATGATCAATCGTTTGAAGATTTGGACCTGGGCATTAGTGAGTGGAAAAGTAAGTTCATGTTTATAACATTTTTTATCAGTTTATTTCCTGCTCTCAATAACTAAACTATTTCTTTCCTGGTGTCTTTACAATTTTAAATTTTAACATTTAAAAAAGTGTGCATATTTGTTTTTGGATCCCAAGAAAAGGGAACATTTTTTCTGATATGTAATCTATTAGCAGACAAAATTAAACAAAAAGAACCCTGGAAAAACAATTATAGCTAACAATTATTATTGGTGTATTAAAGGAGTTTTGTTTCTACACATTTATTATCAAGAACCAGAAATCTTCATGCTTCTTACTTCACAATGCTAGTTGCTAATAATATTATACATTCAATCATATTAGAAATAATAATTTTTTTTCTTCTGTTTCATTTTTCTATTGATTATTTCATTTTCTTTTTGTTTCTATTTCTTTTTCAATTTTCTATTGTTTCATTTTTTCCATTTACTAATTTCAGGGCTGGTCTTTGATGAGATTGACAACTTTACATCAACACACATGTCATAGCATTTAACAAGTTGTATCATCCTAATATTTAGTTGATTCAATAGCAACAGTACTTTCTACACTGGAGCACCATCTGACCAACATCACTAGCTGACTCAAATAGTTTCTACCAGAAAAAACATTGGGTGACTAGTTTTGATGTTTGTTGTTAATGTCATTTCTTCTTGTCAGATGATGGTTCTTGCTGTTAAACTAGATAAAGTTATCAAAAGTAGAAATAGTGAATTTGCTAAACTCAAAGTTGATAATGTACTTCAATACTAATATATAATTACATTTTTTTGCCAAATGAGGTGTATTCTTTGTAGTTGCTTAGACTTGCAAAGAGTTGCCATTTTATATAACATTCATTTTAAACATGTTACAACAAAAATATTTTTCTATTTGTGTAGTATAATAGTTTATACATCTGACTATACAATTTTGTGTATGTAAGTTTGAGAAATAGGCGTCGGTCATTGCATTCAGCTGGTATGGTTATGCCTTTGTTGTAAAACAATTACTATTGTGTATATCTGTTTTATGTTCTACTATGAATATATAATTATATCAGATTCAAAAAGTAGGAAGAAAAATATTTTTATATAAGTATAAAAATGTTTTATTTTATTTAGAACTTTTAAAATAACAGTCTACTTCAAAAAGCATTGGTAGTAAGTGGATTATAACGGTGTAAAATGTTCTTGGATGGTCAAATTAAATTGTATTGTTCAATATTTACATTGAATTTATGTATTGTATGTTAAGTTGCCAAATTAATATTCACTGCTTATGTTTGACTTAGTATTAGTATTTAAACCACAGCTTCTTTATGTTTCGTACAATACCTGTGTTTATATTATCATAAGGCAAGGCAGGAAATTGCTAATTTTATCTGCTTTATTTACATATCTAATTGTGAGCAACAACATAGTCAGCAGCACAGATATAGTTAGTGTACTTGTGCTCAGTGGTAAGTTGTAAGCTAAGGAATATTAACTAAAGCTAATCCTTCTAAGTTGATACCGGTATTTTCACTCATATAGGGGATCACTTCAGTTTCCATGTTTTATTCCTTTTTTTTTTTAAAATAATGTTATCTATTCATTAAAAGAATTTTCTGCATTTTATGTTATTCAATTTTACTCACATATTCTTTTTTAGTTTTTGATACTTTCAATTACAGGAAATTTTTTTTGTTATTGTATGGTATTGTTTTAAAACAATACAATAAAAATAAAATAATTTAGTAGATGCTTTATAAAAAATAGCGGGCTAAGACACATTTTTACTAAATGGAGACTTTGATACATTTAAGCTTTATTTATGTAACATATTTATATTATGACTAATCATCTCTGTACCTCACACATTGTATGGTATGTTGGCATTTGGTAACACATTTTAATCTTGATGGTTGGCTGCAAGTATATAGCTGAATCACAAATACCTTAAGTGTAAACATTTCATTTGTGATATTTTGCTAGACTAGTTAGCCATGTGCAGGGTGTGCATTTAGTCTGTATATTATCCAGTGGTCACTAAATGCAATGTTTGTGGCACCTATCATCTGTGTAACACAAGACGGAATGCTGGAATATTTGAAATACCAGAAAGACTTGTTTTGATGTCCACAGGAACCAAACTGGCATGTTTATTCCATTAAATGCACACCCTGTAATATAAATATTCCATGATATGCATATAAAAAAATTACAGTGTTAAAAGTCGTGAAAACTATGCCAGTAGCTGTAACTAGGCTTAATCTTTAAATGCAGCCAGCACTTAACTTTAAATGTGATGACATAAAACATTTACTGGTTCTGTTATTATGTGAATGCAAATGTTTAAAACTAGAAAATTAGATCACTGATTTGTGAATGGTAAATAGTAGTTAATGGGAACTAATAATGTTTGAATGTGAAACAAATGAAATGTAACCTATCATTGAACAAGTCTTTTATTCTATTTTTTTTCTTTATGTAATAAACGTGAGTCATTTAGCCCTTGGCATGCCATTGGTTCTCAGAGACTTGTGTGTTAACATTTTCTGATTCTTCTGTAATAAAACAAAATTTCCAACACTTCATGTAGCGTTACTTACAGTTCAGTAATCTGTGAAACATGGGATGTTAAAATCATGTGTTGCTTTATTTTTGTTGTTACTGTAGCAACTATAATTTTTTAGGGCTAATAAATAAAAATATTCTGAGGTTATGTACTAAGAAAATATTGCTTTAGATAATTACCATCATCATTATTCTTTAAAAGTTAACTTTTTTTTCAAATTTAAAGCCTGTTGATAGGAAACTTAAAAATATTCACCTATTGTGCCTATTGAATCCATACATTTGCCTTAAATGTTTCTTTTCTCATTTCTAATTCACAGTTGAATAGGTTAGATTAATAATTTAAAATTATTAGGCTTATAAACACCCAAAGCAAGAAATTTGTTTTTAGACTAGTTAGAAATGAAATTTAAAACCTATTTTATTTTAAATATAAATTGACCTGTTAAATTACAGATTAAAATGTATTTTTATAAAATATCTAGAACTAATACTATTATTAAACAATAAAGTATTTATTTTGCATGAAGTAATATTTTTGGCTGCATTGCTAGTCAGTGTTAATTTACTTTTATTTTTATGGATGTACTCCAGTACAGTGCTGAATGAATCAGAAAATTGTTTAATCAAAACTTAAAGATTTGGTTTACTTTTTAAAAAAATGTTTGTTTAGAAATTCAGTGCAAATTATAATTTAAATGTTATGTTAAAAATGATTTTGTATCTACTCTTTCTTTATTTTAAATCTACTTAAAATATGAGAAATCAGAATGTAAAAACAAAAACCAAACACTTTTTTGTTTTCCTTTTCTCTAAACATTGTTTATTCTGGTCATGTTTGAAGACAGATTGATATTGTACTTTCTGTATCAAACTCTGTTATACACAGAGGACCATTGTACTCAGCATAGGGTATTGTTATAAACTGTATCAAACAACATAACTAGAGCATCTATGTAACCAGCCATTTTTTTTCTTAATTTAACATTTCACATTAGTTTGGATGAATTTTTTTTTAGTATTTAGATATTAATACCTTATATGGACTAAAAAATGTATGAAAATTTGATAAGTGATCCTGTAACTAGCATAATAACTGTGATATGCAGATTGACAAACTACAATTTTTTAAATTTTTGCTCAGCTTAGCTGTTTGTGACCCTCTACTGTAGTTTGAATACTTGTACACTTTTGGGTCGTTTAGAATTGAGGTTTTTCTACTGAAAGCATTGTGTAAGTTGATTAAAATTGGGAAAACAAAAAAAAAATTTTTTTTTTTGGTATTATCTTGAGTTAGGACCTTTATAATGTAGTCTTGCTGAAATAGTTACTTTAATGAATTTTTCAATTTAGAACTTAAAATCTGTGGGTTTTTTAAAAAGATGACATAAATAATTTAGAATTGTTTGCTTAAACTATATATTTTTAAAATGGAAATAACAAACAACCACCCTCTTTATACAATTTTGGCTATTTCTCCAAATACCCAGATTTGAAACAAGTCATTCCATGGTAGAGGGTCAAAATAAGCTAAAAATTTTACTCATAGATGAACATGACCCAAGCTTTTAATGAACCGGCAAAGTAATAATTTTAGTCCATTTAGGGTGTGTTTATCAACAAAGTGTGTTATATAGTAACCAAGTTTTTGAGCTGTATATCTTTTGCATGGCCTGTACTGTTAATTGCCCTGGATTTCTGGTTTTATTGTGTATTTATAAACTTGTATCATTGTCTAAGATAACACCCACTTTGCAATACTGACAGTTTCTATTGCTATGATTCTTTTATAACCTATATATTATGGTAAACTGATGTTTAAGTACAATACTTTCTCAGAACATGGCTGGCAATGTTTCATTTCATTAGTTGTATATTTACCATGTTTACGTGCTAGAAAGATTCATAGTGTGAATGGAATGTGACTAATGTAATAGCATACAGTGCTTTCTGTTGAATTTCTACTTTATTCATAAAAAAAATAAAAGATTTTTAAAAATCCTTTATCTCTTGTTTATGTTTGGAAGAATTTTTTTGTAGGTTTTATTCAATAAATAACACTGTCAAGTTAGTTTGCTACAGTTGCTGACAGCATGGACTTGCTACAGTTGCTAAAACTGCGGTAAATATAGCAAACACTCATGTTGGCAATTTTACTTAAATGTTATAAGCCCATTTATCTGAGTTCGCAAGTAAGAAAAATCAGACACCCTTTGTCACTCAGTAGTTCTTCCTCTCTGCCCCCCCCCCCCCCCCCCCAAAAAAAAAAAAAAAAAACATCAACAACAGAGTATTGCATTTTTCATCACATTAATTTAAACCACATGGCTTTTACACTTGCTAAGCTGGTACCAGTAAAAATTCAGGAGAATTAGTCTCAAGCAATGAACTATAAATGTATCCTAGGGGCTGTCCATTGAAGTAAGGCTGACTTGTGTTAAGGAGGTGAGGTAGGTTTCAAAAAGTGAGAAAATAGAATTTTAGCAGTGATTTTGCATTTTAAAAGTCGTTCTTCTTAGCAAAGTGTAATAAAAATTTATCAATGTTGATCAAGCTGTAGTTAATAATTAAGAATGACATTGTAGTTTTAAAAAAAAACTGCCATTTTTGAGGGGGAAAGGGGGGGGGGGGGGGTGCTGGGAATTTACATAATTGAGGGGGGGGGGGGGGTCTTGGTTTTTGTGATGATGTTTGAGAGGTAGAAATGGTTGAAGTGATGTCAATCTATAGCTGACATCCCCCCCTTCCATAAAGAGGGGAAAATGTGCTACAGACGATTCAACTTTAACATCCAATTACTTTGATAGATCATGTTTAGCAAACACACACAATTAAGTGTAACAAAAATTAAGCCATTGTGACCATAACCAACCTCCCCCTTTTCCTACAGCAATTTAACTTATTAAGTGAAATTAAGCCGTTCACTCAGAGGCGTAACGACCCCTAACGGCGCCCGGGGCGAACATTCAATTATTCAATTTGGCACCTCCCATATATATATATATATATATATATATATATATATATATATATATATATATGTGTGTGTGTGTGTGTGTGTATGTACGTGTGCGTGTGTGTGTGTGTGACAGGAACAGATTTAATAATTACGGTGTATGATTTTTGTTCGATTTTACTCGGTGCCAATTAAATTACCCTTAAGATGCGTTATCCTTTTAGGCAAAGATTAATAATGTCTGAAAAAAATAAGCCTGATCTAAGTTTAGGGGATAGTTTTTAGCAGGCGCTAATTTGTTTACGCCATTCTTTTATTTACCATTTTTTGTAACAGTCTATGTTAAGACATGTTACATTGTAGAATTATAAGTTTGTCAGAAACAACTGTAGGAAACAAACTGGAATCCAACTGACACAACAGCTCAAATTCTTGGATTTCACAAATGTGTGCTGCCTTCTCTGACATAGTCAAAAACAAATGCAGAACAAATTGAACTCGTTAATGAAGCAGGCAAAAGATTTAATGCAATCAAGTAAAAGTATCTGATCTTTCAGTTTGAAGTTGAGAGAATCGCAAGAATCGTACAAAGAACTGGCTAGTGAAAACGTATATTATGCGATAATAAAATTGGTTTATTTTGTACGTGTTAAACGATTTATCCTTTCCATTTACCTAGGCAAAAAAGCGCCCTTCACCTACCACTTTTTTTCCTTTTCTCCAATCCAGTGAAAATCATTGCGCTTTTATCCGGCGAAATAGCGCCCCCTCTCTCCCGCACCATCTTGAAAAGTGTTAATAAAGTGGGCAGAGGCGTAGCGAGGGGGGGGGGGACATATGTCCCCAGGCGCCGACCTTAGGGGGCTGCAAATGAAAAGTTCAACGGGGGGGGGGGGGGTGCAAATCGAAAGTTTGTCCCCAGGCGCCGGGAAGGGTCGCCACGCCTCTGAGAGGAGAGCGGGTTTTAGTGTCACATTTTTACGGTTACCCAATCGTAAAATACACTTTAATACAATTGGTTTCTTTTAAAAGCAATAAAGGTTATCTAACTAGCAATCTATATGAATCTTTCCGATTTCAGTCAGCAAAAAAACGCCCCCCCCCCCCCCCCTATTTAGGAAAAGCAAGAAATAGGTGTTTGCAGGTCACTGTTTCTGAAGGATATTTGTTTAACAGTTACACAATCAATTCACAATAATTAAAAACTGCAGCTTAAATTGAACTTTTAAATTTTGTTTCTACCCCTTTTGGAGCCCCTATAGGGGTGGCCGCCCTCCCCGCCCCCCCCCCCCCCCCCCCCTTAGCTACGCCTCTGTCATCACCCCGATAATTTTGAGTACCCCCCCCCCCCCCTCCTCAGAGAAAAAAAATGTCAATCCGTTCTATAGGGCTGGTAAGTAGGTCACCAACCAGTTCTATGGCTCAATAAAACCTGCAAGTGCATGAGCCATAGAACTGGTTGGTGACCTACTTACCAGCCCTATAAAACAAATTGACTTTGGAGTAGACTGTAGTATAGAATGAGTGTAGTTCCATTGATTATTTCATTAGCCAAAATCAAATGTGTATTAACTAGGCTAATTCCAACAAGGCAGTAGTTTAGATTTCTATACAGCAGCTGATCTAGAAATGAGCATTCTAGGCCTAGATCTAGAGCTAGAATCTAGATCTGAGCTTGATAGGCCCTAGATCCCATCATTTGTTCCCTATTTTACCCATAATTCTTTAACGCAATTTCATTCGTCGTTGAATGGAGAGCTTCAAAATGGCGTCTGACGAAGACCCTGTTTATTGTTTATGTCGCTTACCGTATGATGAGACTCGGTTTATGATTGAGTGCGATGTTTGCAAAGACTGGTTTCACGGAGGGTAAAAATACATTTTACCGCAATATTTAATTAATACAGTGCTTTGTTTTTTTGCTTGTAATGAAAAATTCAACACGTCAAACCAACCACTGTGCAAGCAGTTCAATCAAACAAACAAGCTCTGAAACTGCAAAGTGAAATAGTGAAAACAACTCCAAAACATCTCTTCTGCTAAGAAATTAGCTAGATTTCTAGATCGGTCTAGATTTCTAGACTAAATATAGATCTAGTCTAGCAATCTAGATCTACACTTTCGTGACTTCACTCTAGATCTAGATTTAACTTCAGACAGAACTAGTCTAGAATCTAGAACCCCCCCCCCCCCCCCCCCCCCTCTACAATCTACACAAGTACAGTACACTTGACTTAGGGACTTAGACTTTTAGTCGATTAGTTATTAGTCATTATTAGAGTAAAGTTCCACGCGCGGTTAAAACACGGGTGCGGCCATCGCCTGTTTATCGCTTCGTACAATATTTGTTTTGATGTTTTATACGAAACTACCGATATCTGCTGTAAACCTGTCCATTTCTAAATATATCCAGGTCAAATTCTTTTGTTTTTCTCCTTCTGGAAGTCGAGTTTTTAAATTTTAAAGTTTCGAGGTATGACGTCGTAGGCGATTCTAGTTCCCCCTATGAAAAACACTAGGTCCCGGATGAGATGAATAAAACCAACCAATCAAAGCTTTTTATAACTAGGTTAACTATAAATAGCTTCTACAATATGTGCGGGACACTGTACATACGATAGATAACGACAGATAAGGCTAATAAAGCAACCTGATAGGTGAATAGGGGTGGCTGCAGCTTGGGTAACGATTTGGGTGGTTTCACCTCGCTGCGTAACCAACGACTTGAGCTAGACTAGCCTAGTTCTAGATGCTCTATATTTCAAGCTAAGCCTAAATCTGTATAGTTTCTATTTTTTTCTGTTGTTTTAAAATATTTCGATCATCTACTTCTTCTAAATCTAGTTTGTGTCTCTACACACAAGCATATCTAAGCAAAAGTTACGATATGTCTTGTTAGTGATTGTTACGTCCCTTTGTTATGATTATTATAGTTGCGTCCCTTGAATCATCACTGGGTCAATTTTTAATGTCGTTAGGCTAATTAATTTAATTAACATGTTTTTAATTTGGTTTTGCAATTTATTAATTAATAATACAATCAACAACACCTTTAAAAGTGTTAAATATTTATTTTAGTTATTAAACTAGGATTAAAACGTATAAAATACGATCGTTACGCAAGCCGGTCCAGGTGGCCGCAGGGAAAAAAAAGGGGAAAAAAATATCGCAAGTAGCACGTCACTAAAACATGAATATCTCAAATTCAATGCGTAGGAATATAAAATGGTTGATACATATTAAGAGTAGAAAGGCAGAGGAATAATATAGTACTTTGGGTTTCTTTCTGTGTTAAACGGTTACAAAATAGCGCCCGATGAAAGTCGGGAGTTCGCTATGTGTGACCGGTTGTGGAACTTCACTCTAGATCTAGTAGATTTTACTGACTGTGTTACAGTGAATCTCTGTCTCTAGCTAAATCTAGAATCTGGCATTTACAGTTAAAACTTATTACAATTACTTTAATTAGGGGCCTATAGTATTAGTAGGCCTAAGCCCTAATAAAAAAATAACTAATTAGTATTGTTATAGCTAGGCCAATCCCGCTGCCGAGAAAATCGGACAAATCAGCTTTTCCCTACCCCCTGCATGTTCAACTCTATTTTTTGCATGCTTTTATTGTGTTTATATTAACATGTTATACACCATTCTGTTCGTAATTGAATAACCTTTTAAACTGTATAAGTTTGATTTTAATATGATTTCAGACGTTGAAGAAATCGCCGATTGAATCGCATTTTTTACCCCCCGCGGCGACGTGCCGATTAAGGGGGAGGCTTTTTCACTTTTTTAAAACAGGGGTGTTAATTTGAGTCTATAGACTCTTCGAGTTTTCGCCCTTCAACAGTGAAACTTGGCAGAAATACAGATTAGATGTAGACGTATACAGCGCAGGGTTCGTCGTCAAAATATATTAAATACTTTCGGAGATATCGTACAGCAAAGTTGAACCAAGTTTCCCGCGTTATTTATAGACCGATTTTTAATTTGAACCCTGCGCTGTATTGCTGAAATCTGGACGTTTATTAATATGTATGATTTGTACTATAATGCCCTAAGATAGAGACGTCTATAGACTTTGAAGTGGACCGAAAATCAAAACATAACGCGCCGACCGCTGTCCGACTGAACCGCTCGGCTGTGCTTCGAATCGCCGTCTTTAAACAGACGACGCGTTACAAAATTTTTATACACGAATCGAGTTTACATACTACAACAGTGAAACTTGGCAGAAATACATATTAGATGTAGAGGTATACAGCGCAGGGTTCGTCGTCAAAATATATTAAATACTTTCGGAGATATCGTACAGCAAAGTTGAACCAAGTTTCCCGGGTTAGTTACAGACCAATTTTTAATTTGAACCCTGCGCTGCATTGCTTAAATCTGGACGTTTATTTATATGTATGATTTTTTCTACAATACCCCCAAATAAAGCCGCCCATACATTTTAAACTGGAGCAAAAATTAAAATTAACGCGCTGACCACTGTCCGACTGCTTGCTGTGCTGTGTCGATCTACACACCGTGTGGCACATCTGAATGCCTGGTCACGTGACGCTAGGCGGTCGATCCGATTGGATGATACTGTAAACAATTTCTAAAGATAGATAGGCCTACATGTGTTCCCGTGTTATTTTATATAGATTAGATCTATAAGCCGACAGGCATGTTTCATAATTTTGTCCTTACCCATTTAAACGGGAAAAAAAGTCTTATTAATATTTACGGCTCAGGATTAAAATTTATCTTGTTTTTTAAATTAATCCAGATGGTTACTGTCCGATTATAACAATTGTGCGATTTGCGCACCCAAATTTCATTTAAAATTAGAGCATTTCTTTTTCATAAAAACGGCTTTAAATTTTTTTCCTGGTCCCCCTTTTTTTCACTACACATTTAAATACGCTTAACAACGTGGAGGATACTAGCCTGCCAAATTGACCAAAAAAGGGTGGGGTGGGTGGGGGTGGGCATTCTGTATAACACCCAACGTAACACCCATAGCCTACGTAAGCCTCACCCCGCCCCCACTAGTCCGTGACGCGACGAGCCGACGGTCGTAGCCTTTGATGTTGTACAACACCCGTACGGTACCTACTCAGTTCGTGGTGGTTTCATACCCCACCTACCTCCCCCTTCACTTTGTGGAGTTGATGTTACTAACCCTCGGGCAAAGATCAAGAAATCTTGCCAGACTTTTGTCTCTGAAATTACATAACATTCGTCTGACACGTTCATCGGGTTGGCCGACTAGCCTATCCAGCGGTCGTGTTTACGTAATAGGGCAATAAAATTCGTTGGTCAGAAGATCTGGCTAGTCAGATTAATCAAAATCTAGGCAAAAGCTTGTGGTGGTACACGTGTCTGTGTATAGGCACACACCTTAATCTTACACAATTTCTAGAATCTACTAGATCTACACAGTCAAGCACTCAAACACGTGCTTTTTTCTTAAGGAAGTTTTTAATTGTAAAAGGCCTACTGGTAGGCCTACAAAATACAAAAGCCTACTTACTACTAGCATAAACTTTGGGCTTAAATAAAATGTATGTTATAGACCTATAACTTACACTAGATCTATACCTTGTGCAAGTTTTTAAAAAAATATTTTCCTCCAAAAATTATTTTATTGAAATTGTAAAAATTATTAATTTTAATATGGGTAATAATATTACGTAATTATCATAAAGCACACTCTGATGCCGATGTAACTAGACTAATTCTATAGCAAAAAGTTGTATGATATTTAAAATAACAAGAAATAAAATTATAATGAAATAGGCCTACATTTTTGGAATAGAGTAGGCCTATGGTATTGGACATAGATTACATAACATCTTTTAAGAAGTTACATAATCACAAATTTACTATTGTAATAGCATTCTTCTCTTTGTATTGTAAAACTTGATTAGTTATATTTTCTTTTAGTAGGCTATTAACTTGAAGTTAACTGACAAAAGTGATTTCAAAACTAATTCATGGTATATTTTGAGCAAAGGGTGGTATTACATAACCTTAACATTTGATAGTTATGTAACAATGTTGGACCATTTTAAATACTACCATTATCTTCAGCATATATAAATATCATATTATAGATTAAAACAGTGTTACATTTAAACAATGACTTCTTATCACATTGATTATTAGATGTTTTAAAAAAATTGAAAGGGGGGTATTACATAATCTATGAGATTAGTCGATTATGTAATTGAAGGACACTTTTTAAAATAGCATCATTGGATTCGGCATACAAAAATCTATAAAATATCCTAAAATGATATCAATTGGTGAAGTCTGCTTGCTTTTATACCACTTTTAGTGAAAAACTCTTAAAAATTTGGTCCATACCCTCCCAGTATTTTTCCTCTTTCAGGGTCTACCCCGGTTGTCTGAAAAAACTGCTATTTTTTAATGACAAAAAAATTCATAACTTTTTTGTTTATGGTCAGATTTTGAAAATTCAAACTGATCTGTAATCAGATTGACAGCCCCTATCCAAATATGTAACTATTATATTGTTTTACTGAAATTAAATTTTTGCATTGGCCTAGCTAATTGTTATAGTTAGGCTCAGTCTAGTAAATAGTAAATACTAATAATTTAATAATAGGCCTATGGCTACGGCCTACACATATTTAGTTAGTGAATAGGCATTTTAAGTCATAAGAGGAGTTAAGCCAACTTGTAATGGATGGCAGAGCATTGGTATTTGGCTGCTAAACAAAAGGTCTCAAGTCCAGGTCTTAGTTTGGACTGTAGGACAATCGGAGTCTGCCTAGCTCTGATGGGTACTGACTTACATTGCAGAAAGTAAAGGCGGCTAGGCATAATGCTGACCACACAGTTCCTGCAAATGCCGAGGTCAAGAAACATGAACTCTTCTTCATCCGCCCAATGGATCATTAGGTCTTATGAGGAATCTTTACTTTACTAAATACAAATGTACTTGGTTTAGAATCTACTAATATTTTAAACGAGATGACTATGTTGAGCAAACTGCATACCGCCAAGCCTCCCTAAGGCAGGCTAGGCATTGCAAATATGATTGCACAAGAGCAAGCATTCTTTACGTAAAACTATAACATTCAATTTTTCGACATTGTGATAACTGTTTGGGTGGTCGATGTGGTTGCATATCTAATCCTAATAATCAATAATCCTATTGACTCCTATTTTGCTTTTTTTTCCTATTTTACTTAGTAAATTAAAACTGGTTGTTGAAATTTTAGGGTTAGATTTAGGCATTAGGGTTAGGGAGTATTATGGTTTGGCATTAGGGTAACTATAGAATCTGCCTATTTTAAAATCTGTGGACAAAATACTAAAATCTTAACACATGAAATATCTCTTATTCTCTAGAATATAGTAAACCAATTTGTTACAGAATAAATATATTTATTGCTATGCCCCTGCTTGTTGCTATTATTAGACCTTTTATTTTTGGGTAACTACAATAATCATCATCATCAAGTCCTTCCCAGCTGAAAGTAAAGTTGCTAATAACTGAAGTTAAAAGACAAACTGCACTGAAAAGCCTACTTATAGATCTAATTTTAAGTTGCTGAAATAAAAAAGTTAAAAAAAAAAAGCTTTTAATAAATCTTACCTTTAATAGTCTCCCAAAAATTAAAACTTGGATTTAACTTGTGGTATCAAAGGGTATTTCCGTCTACAGTTTTTAGCGCAATTTCCATTCTGGAGAATTGCGTTTATTAACCCGTCATTTCTGGATGTATGAATGGATGGATGGATGTATGTGTGTCCACAGCTTTAAGTCGTATCTCCTCCTCAACGAAGAAATATCGATGACTAGTTCCAAAAGCAATTATGTTAAGCAAGTTACGAGGATGAACATAGGCCATAAAAATTCCGGGTTTCTTTCATGAATTTCCCGGAAAAGCCAAAAAACCTCGAAAAAAAGCAGTTTTTGGCCCATATCTCGGCAACCAGACCACTTAGCGACTTGAAACATGTACCAATCGATTCCTGCCATAATTTAGAACAATATTGCCGAAGAAAGTTTTCAAAAATATCCTTTCGTTCGGTCACAAAAAATTTTTTGAATTAATTAAAATTTGGACCGAATTAGTAGGCATTTTTTCCAACCACACCACACGCGTCATCATGTTCAATAGCTGCGCCATCGCGTTCCATGGCTGCGCCATCACGTTCAGTAGGCGCGCAATGGTTTTTAGTCATGTATGATGTAACTCTATTGTAAATAAAACATGTAAAATACTGAAAAAAAAATTAATAAAAAATGTTTTAATAACTAACCAATGGTTTTACTAACCCTGCTCTTGATTTACGCTACGACAGAGCTATTTTTAGATAACATAAGGAAATTGCGCTAAAATTGTCACTAGACTTTTTAATTACCTTGTTTTAGTTATCTGGTGTTTAAGATTATGGTCATAATAGTCATTGCATTAAAATAGAATGCCCCTTAGCGTACATTGAAAATTAAAAATTGTACTATTGTTTTAGATGTGTTGATGTTCAAGAGCATCAAGCTGCAGATATAGAGATCTACCATTGCCCTAACTGTGCCCCAAAACATGGTCCACTTGTTTGTAAGTGTGGAAAACAATTTTCAATACTTTCTTATTAGCTCTAACTTACAATGTATATATATATATATATATATATATATATATATATATATATATATATATATATATATATATATATATATATATATATATATAAAAATCAAAATAATCAATTGTTTTTCAGTAAAGCACAAAAGAAATTGGCATCGTCATGATTATTCTGAAGATGGCTCAAAAATCAAGAATGTATGTACATATTAACAATATTGTGTGACTATACAAGTGGCAATAGTTTTGGAATTTTAAAATCTGGCATAAGTTAATCTAAATCATTGTCTGAAGTATTTTTTTTTACAATTTAATTACCTTAAAAAAACTTATTTTGTATAAAATTTTACTAATTTTTTAGAAATTTCATTAATGTTGAATATTAATATTTTATTGCAAATTTGATAGGTTGTACAGACAGGAACAGTTTTGTTTATAAAAGAACTCAAAAACAGGACATTTCCAAAGTAAGCATAGAAAAAAACATGCAAACTACTTAATCTATAAATGTTTGAATAAGTGAAGTTTATGATTGTATGAAATCTCAGTAGTAGGGTTGAAAACCTGCTAGGTTGACTTATATATCTACCTAACTGGACTGTTGGATTCAATTAAGTGCAAAGCTTTTAAAAATAAACAAAAACATTTTTTTTTCTAGTGCTGAAGAAATACCCATTGAGCATCTTCATGGTAGTCAAGTTACTGCTAAATATTTTGAAGAGAATGGATTTGATGTTCCCATTCTATGTGAGAAAAAAGATGGCTTGAATTTAATTTTACCCCCACCTTCAATTACCATTCAAGAGATTGAGAATCTAGTGGGTGAGTACTTGTAAAGTGTGCTTTATCACAGTTTTAGCTGAATTCTTTTCGGTTGCTTGATTCATAGTTAATTAGTAAGCTTTAAGATGTATGGATGTATTGTGACTTTTCTCATGGTACAGGTTCAATGAGAGAAATAGATGTGATTGATGTCGCACGTCAAGATGACATCAAAATGCCGATGAGAGAATGGACAGAATATTACAACAGTCCCAATCGTGATAAGATTCTCAACGTTATTAGCCTGGAGTTTTCAAGCACTAAGTAATAATTTCTTTCTTTTACGTTGTTCAGAACACACACAGCACTTATTTATTGTGTATTAATAAGTAAGTAAAGTACCCTTTTTAACCTTACTGTTCATACAGCAAGTGAAGTAAAGTTGACCTATTTCACTGACCTGAGCATATAAAGGGGTAGTGTGGTCAGCACTATGCCCAGCCACCTACACTTTCCTTAATGTGCTTCATGTACCCTTCAGAGGTAGTTGGACTCAGGGATGTCCTAAATACACTCCAGCCTGGAGTTCAAACTTAAGACTTCTGTGTTAACAGTTGAATGCTCTACCATTCTACCACACTGTCCCATGTATCATTCAGGAAATTTTGAAAAATGTCAACATTGTTTGAATTTTAGGTTATCAGAAAAAGTTGAACCCCCCAAAATTATCAAAGATGTAAGCTGGGCCAGAAATGTCTGGCCGGAACAGTTGCCAGAGGATAGCACACTTGTCAGGCCAGAGGTGCAAAAATATTGCCTGATGGGAGTGAAGGACAGCTTTACAGATTTTCATATAGACTTTGGTGGCACATCTGTGTGGTACCACGTTTTGAGGGTAAAGTTATTAATATTAAATGCAATTAAATAAAATTATTTTATTTTGTTGAAATTTTAATTAAATTAAATAAATATTAAAGTTAATTAATGTCTGTTGTTAAATTTTTACTATGTAGTATTGCCAACTTTGCCAACTCCACTATACTTGCATTTGTGATATTTTGATCTTATATCTTTTTACCATATTGGTGCAACAGGAACTAAAATATTGTTCATGGGAACAATAGCAATAAGCAATAAGGCAATAGCAAAAAAAAAAATTTTTAATGCTGTTTTTTATTGCCATGTTACAGGGTGAGAAAATATTTTACCTGATAAAGCCAACCCAAGCCAACCTGATGTTATATGAAAGATGGTTGTCATCCTCTAAGCAAAATGAGATGTTTTTTGGTGACCAGGTAATAACCAAAAAACTTAAATTTGTTTTTAATTATACAGCTTTATTTTTTAAAGTATGTTAGAAACTTTTACATTTAATTATATTTATTTAAACATCCATACAAATGCATAATTGCTGTTTAATTTCTGCAATTTGAAACATCTTCCATAGAATCATCTGTAAGATATTTATTTTCTTCTGGAAGAAAATATAAAATATCTTACAGATGTTTCTAGAAGCTCTAGATCTATATTATAATTATTTTCTTAACGCTTAAAGCTCACTTGATACTGTCAAAGCCTAGCATTAATTATTTCTTACTTGAAAGTAGATCTATTCAGTTGTGTGTATGTTCATTGTGATACTACTCTCAGGAAAATGAATGATATTTTAACATTGTGTAGAGACTATACCACCAATATTTTTTTTATCTTCAGGTGGACAAGTGTTACTGTATGACTGTTAAACAAGGGCACACATTATTTATACCCACTGGCTGGATCCATGCTGTGTTCACACCAATTGACTCTCTAGTGTTTGGAGGAAATTTTTTACATAATTATAACATCCCCCTACAACTACAGTAGGTTCACTTTTACAAACAAAATTGTAATTAGTTAGTATTAAACTATTCATGTGCATTAATTAAATTTGGCATGTACTTAAGTATACTCATATGAGGTTAATAAACTTTACCATAAGAAAATGTATTCATCAGGATGTTATTATGCTTAAAATGATTTACATTTTTTATTAAAGAGGCAATGTTGCCGTATCCACCTAAATTTATAGCCTTAGTCTATTTTCGTTAGTTAAAACCACCATTAAATTTAAAATTGAGAGATGTTAACAGCCAGCTACTATTTATTCTGGAAAATATATTTAAAATTTATAATTAATGATACATTTTTTGCAAAAAACAATATTTTTTTCTATTCTTTCAATAAGATGTTACGAAATTGAAAGAACAGTAAAAACTCCAGAAAAGTATCTTTTTCCTTCTTATGAGACGATGAATTGGTACGCTGCAAAAAGTTTGCTAGAGATCCTCAATGGTATGTAATGGGTAGCTACCCTGTTACTTGTAGAACATTTAATGACGCTTCCGAGAACATATTCCTTAAAAAACAAAATAAAATTACATTTTGAATTGAATTTTTCCTTCATATGCAGAGTTCAATAAACATGAACTCTACTTCATCTTCCCAATGGATGCAAGGTCTACAGAGGATTCTTTCTTTTTTCTTTTTTGAAAATATTTAGCTGGTCCAACCTGGATATCTCCACCACAATCTTTAACACTTACTTTAGGTTCATGACTTAAAAAATGGGTTATTTTCTTTTGATATATGAAGCAGTAATACAAAAACCACACCAAGTAACATGTTTTAAAAAAATATATGATTACAAAAATTATAAAGGTGGGTTACAAAGAAGCATTACAAACCAGTGATTTTGTGAACTGAAATATTGCTACAATGTTTATGATTGTCTTCAAAGAATACACAGAGGAAGGTAGAAGTCCACCAAACTACTTGATCGCTGGAGCGCGAGCCTTGTCTGTGAGTCTTAAAAGCTGGACACAGAGAAAAGATGTAAGTATTAGCTGATCATGTCGTTTTTTTTATTTGTTTGTGCTAAAAACTTTTTTTTTTGAAACAACATTAACCAGTTATTTTTTTTCAAATCATAAACCTTCTTTTGGTTAGATGTCCTGTATCATCATTTGAATCATTAAAAAAAATACATTGCAACAAAGCTCTAAGCTGTCTATTATATATAGGCCTATCACAGTGAATTTATTAATTGAAAATGTGTTTATAAATTATTAAGAATTCAGAATGCAATGTACCACAATATACAATATATTCATTTCTTTCTCATTTCTTTTTTTTCTATCCACGAATTCCTAGGACATTGGAATGCAATTTCTCCTAACTTTAAAATCAATATTAAAAATTTGTAAAATTGCTTTTTATGCCATTACTAATAATATACTTTAGACCCTTCAATCATTTTATCCAATTAGACCAAATGTCCAATGAACAATTAAATGAATTGTTATCATCTATAATATAAACAATTTCTTTTTATTTAAAAATACCTCATGTGACTTGTCTCAGAATGAGGCCACATGTAAAAGTAAAACACTACAGGTTTATAAATGCTTATCATTGAATACATTCATGTACATCCATGTTTTGTGTTCATACACACCATCTCTGTGTATCAAAGGTATTTAGATCTATCCTTTTACCAATAAACCTTTTTTTCCTTCCCTTCCCCATTTCCTTTTCCTGTTTTCAGCTCAGCAGCAAATATGTTGTGAGTCAATCATTGTCTCTTGGAAGTTACTATTTTTGTTTGTCTCTATCAATGATTTTATCAGTGCTATTTTGCATCTACTTTTAAATTTTAAAACCAATGTAAGACTTATCAATGAAGCTGCCTGAAGTATGATGTAATCCTGGGCTTCAGTTTCTGCTTAGTAGATTAGATTATGCCACTCTATTATTTGTATTTTATAATGAGGTTTGTTTTAATTTGCTGGGTTTTTAGTTTAATTTTATTGATTAGTTTTTTTAAAGACTGCTGACAGGCAATGTTTTATCTAACATGGACTAGTCCATAGTTAATTGTGTAATTTTCTCTTGATTCTTAATTTTAACCTAAAACAAAGGGAAAAGTATTCTAGCTAATCATACAAGGGCATTCATTCATGAATACATAATTTCTTCTGTTGTGTCACTTACTTTGTACCACACAATAGTAATAACACATTTTGATATTTAGCTTTGTGGGGTGCAGTGTGTTTCATACCGTAGTCTGTTTTCTCTAGGGTTTCAACTAATCTAACAAGTACTTTTAGGTATGGTTTATGTTGTCAGTATCTTTAAGATGACTTAGATTGAAAGAAAAAACTTATTAACCCTCAGTTATGCATGCTCTTTTCTTTTTAACAATCATTTTAACATCTAAATTACACTTTTAATACCTATAACTTACTATAAGAAAGTATTTTTTCCCCTATTACTAGTTTTCTTTATTTTTAAAAGTAATTCATTTTATATGATTCTTTCATCAAAATGCATACTGTAATACAAGAGGCCCATATAAACCTGATATGTCTTCTATTTTGTTTTTCAATATATATGATTGGAAGTGAGTATTGTAGAGATGCAAGATTGAAAGTAAAGACCTTAAACACAAAAAAACTTTGTTGACCACACATGATGGAAGCTGCCTCCACTGATATCTTGCACAGCATTCCCTTTCTACATGTGATACATATCAGTTGTATCTGGGTCAATTTTCTATATTTAGGAATTTGTTTACCTAATGTTTAACTTCAAAGTTTTGGGGAATTTTTCAAGTAAAAAATATGAGTTGTTGAGTAACTTTTATTTCATGATTGCATGCTACCAGCATTAGAGATCTTACTAATATACTTTATAAATAAACTGACTTCTAATTTTTATAAATTAAACCTAATAACTCAGTTATCCATAATTGAGTATATTTCAGCTTTCCAAATTGTTAAAGTATATTAAAGATTATAATTCCTTTTTTATAGAAAGGATTTGTAATTAATTTGTATTAAATCACTAATTTACAACTTAGTAAAAAAAAAGTACTTAAATAACAGACACAAGCATTGGCATCTAGATCTAGTCTTTCCCCAGGTAGTAATAATAAAAGTCAGTCTCTTTAAAAATAAGTTAATCCCAGATGTTACGAGGAGCACTGTTTTTTTCCCATCTTTTGATTTTTAAAAATGTTCTAATATTAAAAAAAAAAAAATGGTACAATTTTCTATATTAAACATAATACATAACTTTTACAGTTTAAAATTTTTTTTTCTTGCTTTTTTTCTGCATTAATTTCCATGATACTCCATCCCCTATAGTTTTGTGCATGATTGTTGCCCACCTAACCTTCTAACATTTCCAGATATACCAGCAGATCTGCGTGATGATACCTTCACCCCTTGACCTTGCTTTTTAGTCAACATTTGAATGTGCTAATTTCTGTATAGCACACAGTCCAGTTTTATTGCATTATTCCCTGGACCAAAAGAGTTTTGTCATGTGTTTTGTCAGCACAAAAGTTATAGTTTTGTACATTTAAATTATTATAACATGTATATGACAGTTTAAATTTTATGCCTTTTACTTTTATTTTAAAATTTTGCCATGCACATTGCTTTTTTGCCTTCAGTCTAGAAAACATTTTTATACAGGTTATATTTTATCATGGTAGTTATTTTCTTTTTTTATCTGTACAATTTTTGTCCCACAATGATGCAGCCAATCTTTAGTTTTAAATGTTGTGTATAATGTATATAAAACAGTTGTTCAGTGGGGGATGTAATAACATTATTTTTGTTCCTATAGCTTTTCCTTTCTATTTCAGTATGCTAAGGTGGGAAAACAAGATGCTGCTGAATACATTCCATATGGAAAAGTTCTGAAAGAAATACAGAAAGAAATAAAGAAAATTGATAACATGGTACCATATTAAGCAAATACTTTGTTTCAGTGTTTTAAGGATATTTTAATACCTTTGTTGTTGTGTTAAAATTTTTGTAGCTGACATTAATTTTTTAAATAACTTTAAGAAATGTTTTTTAATCTTGATAGAAAAGTCCCAAAAAGAAGGACCCAAATGGCAGCAAGTCTAAAATTAGTCCCAAAAAATCTGAACCGGCTATAAAGAAAAAATTAGAAAAGCCAAGTAAGGGATCTAAAAAGGCACCTAAGATTCTGGATGTGTTAGACCAGCACACTAAGGAATCTCTGAAGATGACCAATAACCATTCAAAGGATGGCACTGTCAAAACTGCTGAGGAAAGGGAACTGAGAGAGAAAATTTATAATTTTGATGTAAGTTTTAACCAATTTGTCATCAAACTTTTTGTTTGTTTTGAACTCTTTTATAAGTAACTCTTCTATTTTGATGAAAAAGAAAAGTATTTCTTTTTGTGTTGATATTCAGTTTATTTAATGAACTTTGTTGACTGGTCGTCCGTTTAAATTATTTTAAACATATATAAGATGATATTTGTAAAAAAAATTACCAAAATATTTGCTAGTAGAAAAAAAAACCTGAGTAATGTCGCAAAAAACAGGAATCCATTTTTATATGGATATCAGCTTTTATCACTTTCCTTAGCAATAAATTATTTTTCATTTCTACATTAATTTTAGAAAAATATATTTAATACATTTATAAAATTAGGACGATGATGAAGAGACCAATGTTAGCTTGAAAGTTCGCATACCAAAAGCAGGAGCATACATAGATGACAGCAACAGTGAGAAGCATAAAAAAAGTAAGGATATAGATAAGAAGCTAATAAAAAGCGAAGATGAAATCAAATCTGAAGACAAACACATACCCAGTAAGTCGAAACCTGTCAACCAAAAAGCCAAGGTGAAGAAGAAAGAGGAGGGTATAAAGTTAGAAAACAATGAAGACACCAAACCACAAGTGCCAGCTACACCTTCTAAAGAAGTTCCTCAATGCCTTAAGTTTAAGCTTTCTAACGGCAAGATGGTCAGGTAATCACTTTTAAAGCATCTGATCTTTGTTTTATTGGTTTCTGTTGGCTGTTTATTAATACTCCCTGAGTTAACACTGATGCCTAAATTATGTACGTTAATTTGTAAAATACTGGAAACTGCCCAGTTTGGGGTGTTACCCTTAAACCTATACAACACAATGATTTTTGTCTCTGCCATAGATAATTCATAAACCGTATAAATTTTCATTAAGAAACTTTTGCAATGTCATGATAGGCATTTTAGGGTTAAAATAATTTTCCCACCTTCTTTATTCCAATTCTCACAGCATTATGCAGTGATACATTACAGTGATGTTTAAAAAAGTTTTTTTGTTAATATATTTATTTTGAAAATAATTACAGCACAGACAAGAAAAAGAAGAAAAGTAAAAAGCTAAATGTCAAAGAATTTGTAATGTTGGGTCCTGAAACAGAAAAACCTGCAGTACAGAGCAGTAAAGAAACTACTAAGGATAAGAAAAACTCTAATACAACACCTGTCAAAAAAGACATTGAGAAATCTAAAAAGAAAAAAGTGAAAGAAGGGAAAAATTCATCATCCAAGCACTCAGAGAAAGAGTCGTCGTCCAAGGGAGACAAGATAGGTGTGAAAGGGAAGGTAAAAAGTGAACAAAAGAAAGAAACCAAGAAAAAGTCTAAGACTCCAGCCATTGTGACTCAAAAAATGGAACAGGACAGTGACAGTGACCACCTGGTTGTGGATGAAAATCCTGTTAAAACTCAGAAATCCACCTCAGCAACTAAACCAGCCTCACTCAAACGTAAGCTACCACCTGGGGCGTCAAAATCAAAACCAACAGGTAATAATGCTTTAGGCATTCTGTAATTACTGTAGCCTTCTTCTTCTTCGTTCTTAATTTTTGAATATGGTGGAGGATTCAGACAACAAGTCCAACTTCGTGGACAAACCGGACTGTGGTTTCCAGTTTGTCAGGTGTCCCATATAATTTTTCCCTGAGTGGGGTGGGCTGGGGCCAGTGTCTGCCTCTTGCCTGGCTATACAGAGAACATTCCTGGAGTACGTGCTCTGTGTTTTCCGGGGCCTTGCCACAAGGGCACATTTCGCTACACCCAACCTTCAGTTTTTTGTGCATGTGTTGATTTAGTCTGTTGTGGCCTGTTCTGAGTCGAAAGATTATGTATTGTTGTTTTCGTGTTAAATTGTAATAGCCGTCGTCTTTAATGTAGTGAGGGTGTGTGACAGACCACATTTGCGTTTGTTTGTTTTTAATTATTCTTTTTATTTCTTTTGGGTGTAGCGAAATTTCCGGTTGTGGTTTCTTTCCCCCAATTTTTGCCAGCTGGTCTGCGATCTCGTTACCCTGGATCTGGCAGTGGCCCGGGATCCACTGCAGCACAATTCTGCTGCAGGTATTTTTTAGCCTCTCTAGTGCTGTCATAAGTGTTTGAATATAGGACTCCGGATTTTGTAGGGATTGCAGGACTGATTTGGCATCTGTAAGAAATACAATCTGACTATTCGGTGATTCAGGGTGTTCTGACAGGAGGTTTGCTGCGTGTTCTAAAGCTTCTTTTTCTGCCCTAAAATTGTCGGATAGGCTGCCTGTGGCTATTGCCTTTTCCAGGCTTTCTCCGCTTGGCCATTCAATAAGGATGCCAGCCCCGCCGTTTTTTGTGGCATCTTCAGCTGAGCCATCTGTGAAAACTCTAATCTAGGTGTTGCTGGGGTACTGATCCTTAATGTGTTCATTTGTTATTTTCTTAAGTTCTTCTAGATCATAGTCAGATTTTTTTCCTATGGTGTCTATTGAGTCAATAATGGTTAAGTGACAGTGGGAGATCCAAGGCGGGGAGAGGTTTTGAGTTTTTATTGCTTCAGGAATGATATTTTCGATTTCATATTTCTTTTTCAGATTCTTTGCTTCTTTGATGAAACTTGTTCTTTGTAGTCTGGTTGATGGACTGGGTTTCTGGAGTTTTTGTTTTAGGTTATGGTTTTCCAGTGCCTCTAGCTTTGTGTATTGAGTGAGGATTTTTGATTCTCTTCTTTCTTCTATTGAGCTAAGAGCGGCTATTTCCTCCATAGCTTTTATGGGTGTTGTTTTCATGGCTCCTGTCATTATTCTCAATCCAATGTTCTGAACTTTGTCAATTTTGCTAATATTTGTTTTTGCTGCTGAGCCCCAAGCCGAAGCACCATATTCTAACGTAGGTCTCACATAGCTGGTGTAGGTTTTTTTCAGGATGTGGTGATTTGCTCCCCAGTCTGTTCCTGCCAGTTTCCTCATTAGATTAAGTCTTTTGATCCCATTACTTTGTGTGTTTTCTATTTGTTTTCTCCAGGTAAGTCGAGTGTCAAAAGTGACTCCTAGGTATTTGGGGTGGTCATTTTTTTCTAGCTCTTGGTTTTCTAGGGTAAGTTTCATTTTTTGATGTTTAGTTGATAAGGTGAAGATTGAATAGGTTGTTTTCTTGGTATTGATGGATAAGCCCCAGTTTTTGGACCATTTGCCGAGCTTGTCAAGTGTTTCTTGAAGACGAAATTTTGAGGTACCAATATATTCCTCTGTGCTGATTAGTGAAAGGTCGTCTGCAAACATGCTTCTTTTTACTCTCCTTGGGATGTTTTCATTTAAGTCATTTATATAAATGAGGAAGAGAGTAGGAGACAAGACTCCTCCTTGAGGGACTCCATTTTTTATAGTTACTGTGTGACTTCTTTTTCCTTGCATGGAGACTGATGCTTTTCGGTTGCTTAGGTAACCTTTTATCCAGTTTAGCATGTTATGAGATACTTGATGGTTTATTAGCTTTAGAATTAAGCCTTGCTCCCAAACCTTGTCAAAGGCTTTTTCAAAGTCGACCCACACTATTGAGGTTGGTTTTTTTTCTTGAAAGCCATCTTCTATTTCCTGAGAAATGAAGGTGATTTGGTCTTCAGTAGATCTGCACTTCCTGAAGCCTGCCTGTTCGTCTGCTAGTAGATTGTTCGATTCTAGAAACCAGGTCAGTCTGTTGTTTACTACTCTTTCCATCAGTTTACAAACGCAGCTTGTTAAACTTATTGGGCGATAGCTATCGACTTTGTTCCTGGGTTTTCCTAATTTTAGAACAGGTATCATGATTGCTTTTTTCCAAATATTTGGGATTTTCCCAGATTTCCAGCTTGCATTAAATATTTGGAGCAGTTTTTTCTTAGCATTGGGGCCCAGGTGCATGAGCATATCATTTGAGATTTTGTCAGGGCCTGGAGCTTGCTTAAGTTTGAGGAGCTTCATTGCTTCTCCGAGCTCCTTCTTGCTAATTCGAGCTACCATTCCAGTGGAGGAGGGGGGAGAGACTTTCTGTAGTTTTTCTTTAACTTCAGTTTGATTTTTAACCTCTTCTACTCTTTGGTGGCTGATATTTATTTGTCCCACTTTGCTGAAGTGGGTTATAAATTCTTTTGCTGCATCCTTTTCTGTTTTGATCGTGTTTTCAATGTCGATGACTATGGGAGTAGCTCTGTTTTCTTCTTGGTTTAGCCTTTTTGCAATACTCCATAGTTTATGACCATTAAAAAAAAAAAAAAAAAAAAAAAAAAAAAAAAAAAAAAAAAAAAAAAAAAACTGTAGCCTAATTTTGTCAATTTAAAAAATATTAATTTACTTAAATTATGTTATTTAATTCAAGAATTAGTTGGATTGTGTATAGATCCCAAGATATTTGCGTACATTTTATTTTGGTTTGTCACCACACTTTCCCTATGATGTCAAAGCTTAGGATCAAGTCTCCACTTTAAGCCATATACATTTAGTCCAAAGTTTATAAATATGTTTTTAATGATTGACTTTAAAAATTTTTTTTAATGAATTATTTAGTTCATTTATATTAATATGGTGCCCAAATGTATGCAAATATTATATACACACATCCAGCTGTAACTATGTTGTATTGTAAATAGTTATACCAAATTTACACAAATCACTTTCTGTAACTTACCTATGTGACTAATTACTTTCTGCTAAAATAACAGGAATTTCTTTAAAAAAAAATTTAATAGTTTAGTCTTACCCTTAACAGAACACACTTAGCTCTTGAGGCATCTCACTTATATTAGTGTTTTATAACCAAAATTATTTTTATATTGCCTTGTAGATTCTGACGAAGAAGAAAAAACAGATGCAACCAAGCAGGAAGTTGATACAATAAGAGGAGGTCTCAATGGCAGTATAAGCGACATTCTGACTGCCAGTGGCTACAGGTTTGTGGTGTTTCTGCTTTAGTTAACTCAATTAAAACATCTGGTGTGTTTACAGATGATGGTGTCCACAGACATACCAAGTGGGAATAAATCTGACTTTATGAGAGGTGGCTGGACATGGTGCAATCGATCTGAAAATTTCCATCATTTTCTGAGGCTACACAAAGTTCTCATTTGATACTTGAGAACTTTCTGTTGCCTCAGCAAATGATGGAATTTTTCTAGATACTTGTGGAAAAAATATAAAAATTGAATTTTATGTGAACTTTTGAGGTTTCATATAAAAATATAAGTTTCAACCTCCTGGAATAAGTTTAGTTTATAAATGACACCACACACCTAGGAGGTAGAAATGGCTTTAGGCTAGTATAGAAGCCGCCTGCCCATTTTAGACCAAATGATCCATAGGGCAGATGAAAAAATAGATATGCCAGCACTATGTCCAGACACTTTTACTTTCCCTAATGTGATTAGAACTGGGTGGACTCTAGGCTATCTATGGACCCAAGAATGAAAGAGATGCAAACTTGAGACTTTTGGGTCAGCAGTCTAGAGCTTGACTGGTAGACCAAGCCATTCCGTTAATGTCAAGCATTTATTTATTAAGAAAATTTAAAATTTAAATATGGTTTTATTGCAGAAAGGTGGATATAAATCTGCCTCAATGACATTCGTGAATTTACATCGGATGTACCTGATGTATGATTGGCTTAGAATACAGTTTTACATTTTAAAGTATCTTATTGTTTTATCTAGTGGGATGAGAGATGCAATTGCTGGAATGCTGACCATGAGTCGCATGGGTGACTCTGGTATACAGAGCAGCAAGGAAAAGGCAGCTACAACAGTTCAAGAAGAGGAAGAAAAGTTAATGGCTGATTGCTATCGTGATGATGAATTTGGTGAGTATGACACACAATATGTGGAAATGTAATTAGCGACTTGGTGGCATTTTACATGTTAAAGGTGTTTGAGCTGGCTGTTGTGACTCTAATCCTACCTTGCTTGACTCAGATTATAAATTAAATCTTATACATTTTAAAGAGATACTTTATAAAATGAAAAAAAAATCAAATATATTTAAAAAAAGATGTAATAGATTTAAATAAATACATGTAATAAAGGTAATTAAATAATTTTTTATGAGTCAATCAAATACTATTTGAAAATATATGTAATAAATTTAAACAATAACCATCGTATTTAAAAAACATTTTAAAAATGTTTCTTAGTTTCAAGCTGTAATCTGCAACATAGACATTTATCCTTATTTGACCGTGTACTCTTACTGGCCCTTTACAGTCAAAACTAAGCACATTTTTCTGTATAACTAATTAATTGATGATTGTATGAATATCATTATAGTCTCAATTTTTGCCAGTTTTGAAATTCATGTTTAATTATATTTTTTCTTTCAGTGTATCCTTCGTTTGAGTTGTCAGATGAAGAGGAGGATTCCATGTATTCATCGAGGAAAAAATCAGAGAAAGATGACAATTGGAACCCTAAAGGTTGGTATTTCTTCAGTTTCTTTTTGTATCTTTGATCGTTATTCACTTACATTTTCTGTGACATTTACACCCTCTTTTTACCATTTATTAAGTGAGTGTCTGTGACCTACATCAAATGGAGGGATTTTTTTTTCAAACTTTTTAGTTTAGGGCAAGAATATATAAATTCTAATGTTCAGTCTAATCAGATGACAGATAAGTCATTACAAATTTAGAATAATATTACTATTTTTACTAGTTTTAGTATTTAAGGGGGAGATGACTAAATAGTATCAACCACTTATATTAGTCAAATGAGCTGAAGTTTGCAGATATTGTTTGCCAACCTGTGTCATTTAGATTTTACTGATCGTATTTTAGTAATTAAGCGAATAATTTAGTTATAACTTATATTGGGTCACATCCAGATTTAGACTGATCAGAATGCAAAGAATAAATGTGATAATAATTGCTTTTAAAGTTAAAAAACTATTTTATTTTTTACGATTCTTAGTTTTTAAAAAAATCCTTTCATAATATTACTTTTATAAGTAAAATAATAATGAGAAAATAAACTTTTCTTTCTTAAATATAATTGTGAAAGCATCTCTTTAACATATTAAAGCCATATTTTCAGAGCATTTTAAACATGTTATTATAAGTTGTTTTTTTTTATTTTAAAATTTTTTTTGTTAAACTAATATATAAAGGTGGCTAAAACCACATAAAAGAAAAAAATCTGGATGGTTTTTAAATGTTCTCTTTGCAGCCAGAGTCAACTCAGTTTTAGCCAAGCCAGACAGGGAGCACAGAGTGGGTGTTCAGAAAGAATCAGTGGCTACAAGTCTAGCTAACACAGCAGCCAAGCTTGCAGAGAATCCTCCTGTAAGTGTATCAATATCTGACCCGGGCGGGACCTTTCATTTAAATCTTTTAGACATTAAACTATAAGAGCATTCTATCTTAGCATGGTGGGAGCACTTCAGTAGTGTAATCTTTTTCAACATAAAAATGTGAGAATGTTCAATCTTAATATGGTGCGGATTGTTCATTATGGCAATCTTTTAGACCTAAAAATACTAGAAATTTAAGCCTTATTTGTAGGAATTGTGTGTGTGTGTGGGGGGGGGGGGGGGGGGGTGGAAACACTGAATGTTACCTGTAGCTTTATCCACTTCTTAAACCTCTAAAAAAAAATTAAATCTGATTTAAAGAAATCTTTCAGAATGCATTCAATCAATGTAGTTGTCCATCATGTAATACTGTGAATGTTTGTTCTGTTAAATTATTTCAATGGTTAAATATTAAACGGTTTCTCCCTGTAACGTAGACACTAATCATTAGTGCAGATGTACTGTTTATGTATTTTTCTCATAAGTTTAAAGCTAACTATATATTTTATGTTCACTTTGTTTAGTCTGAGAAAAAACACTGGAAGAAATTACCCAAACAAAAAGTGCCTGAGAAAAAAGAATTTGAAGTAGAACCATTGCCAGGGCCTTCCACTGCAGTTGATGAGCCAGGTAAGAAAAAACATGCCAAATTTTGTAATTCCAAGTTTCAGTTTAGATTGATATTTATCAATAAATTTAAAACTCACAATTACTACAGCTGATGACATTAACTTCTAACACATTTTTAAAATAAACGTATTAATTCTTGTTGACTTAATCAGAGAGTCTTGTTTCCACTTTTATTTCAGTAAATGCTTTTAGGCCAGGAATTAAAAGACCAATTGATCCATGTGCCAATGCTGCAACGCAACCACCAAAATGTATGATCACATTGAAATTTCTTACATTGCTTCTTCACTTGAATATATATCATTAAAATATTGCCGGGATCTTGCCTGTTTGTTAGCATTGTAATGTTAATTCTAGGAGTGGATGTTTATTTTGGTCACAACTCTGAAATTTTTTATTTAGGTAACCATAGTAAAAAATTTGTTTAATAACTCTTTTTAAATTATTGTTTATCTTCCAGTAAAAAAAGTGAAGAAAGGTTTGGCCACTGCAAAACAGAGACTGGGAAAATTGCTGAAAATCAAGAAGATGGTGTATTAATTCCGTTTTTAAGTAGCTGACCACTTTATTATCAGTGCAATACATCATGTAAGACCACAGTTACTTCTAGGGCAATTCAACCACTTGTTGAAACAAAGACATTGAAAGCTGGACTGTTGGAAATGTGAGTTGAAAATGTGACAATTGAAACAAAGACATTGAATATGTGACAATTAAAACAAAAAAGCTTGAAAATGTGGCTATTGAAACAAAGACATTGAAAGCTTGACTGTTGAAAATGTGATTGTTGAAAAAATTGATTGAAAATGCGTCAGTTAAAACAAAAAAGCTTGAAAATGTGGCTATTGGAAACTAAGATTTTGAAATCTGGACTGTTGAAAATGTGACTGTAGAAATAAATCTGTGTATGGGAAGAAAGTTGACATGAACTGTAAATATGTACACTACAGATATTTTATCAGCAATTGCAAATTTTATTTTTATCATGCACTGTTATGATATATGCTCCTTCCCTCAGAAACATAGATGTCACGTAGTGCTCAAACCTAGACCTCATACATTTACCAGCTAAACTGTTTAATCTGAAGGTTGGGCCCCTTGCAGGATAAGACATTGTGCACATCTGTAACACAAAACTCCCCTACCCCCCACATATCATTTCTACATAGCACCCATTTTTACTGTATAACATTTTTATAACCTCCCCCTTATTATAATAACAAACCTAGACACAGTGATTTTCATTATGAATTATTTTTGAGAACCTAGACTTACTGTATTAAAAGTACAATGAAAATCTGAACCACACCAAACCCCTTTGCATTATATATAATATGCACAATCTCTTATCATCAAATCATGACGCAACCTTTATAGGTGCAGAACTGTCAAAATGGCTTATCTAGGTCTAGTGTGTGGGGGGGGGGGGATATGTAGCATCACCCTGACAACATACACCATATCCACCCCACCAACTCCTATCATAGGCCTACCATTGGATTGTGTGTCAGCCTGACTAGATTGCACATCAAATCAGTTTTTAGTTTTAAAGTGGTGCTAAGGATTAACTTTTTTGGACATAATCAAATTTTAGAAACATAAGAATGGGATAGAAGCCTTCTCCCACCTGGCACCATTGTATATTATGTAAGATAAATCCTTGTGTTGGCCTTTACCTCATGAAGATTAGTTAATCTGCTCGAGATGATCATACCCTGCTTGTATTGTACATAAAATGTAAATTACTGTAACAGAAATGTAAATTTTACTAATTTATTCACAGATTTTTAATTCACTGCCTAATTTATGGTTTACTGTAACAGGATGATGACAGATGTATTAAATGAGTATGAAGTTTTAACTGATCTCTGTTAAAGGGGCGTTACTGGCTTAGGTAATGCTCCTATTTGTGAACCACATTAGTGTGTAGAATTGTACATTTCTTAAACCCATTTTACCACCTGCTGTTAAATCCTTGTTTTGAATAGGGGGGGGGGGGTTAGGCAAGTGATACTCCTAATGTGAACCACGGCAGTCTGTAGAATTGTACATTTCTCAAACCCAATTTACCACCTGCTCTGTTAAATCCTGGTTGGAATGGGGGGGGGGGGGGGGGGGGAGAGAAAGTTGAGCAGGGTAGTTTGGTTCTGGGGTGGATTCTTGTGTCTGGTACCCGGGTACAGAGCTTTCAGGTTAACTGCTACACCATGCCAGTAGTAAATCCAGTAGTATGTTTTACAGATAGAAATCTACTTGTGTATGTTAGATTCAGATAAGTAGCTGGTTTCTGTTCTAAATCTATAAAGTTGAGTCTAGTGAGTATGAAGCTGTGTGTGGTTTAAGGTTCTACTATGTGGTACTAACAAAAAATTTGTTACTGGCCATGGTAAATAGCTGATTGTTTAAAAAAAAATTTGAACATGTACTGCTTGTATTGTGAAAGGTGGGTCATGTTCTAGCACTGCCTTTAATAGAGGAATGTTTAAGGAGATAGCAAGATCAAGCATGTGAGCATGGGGGATCATATGCTCTGATGGCTGAGACCTAATCTGATTCATAGTGGGGGAGTCTATGATTCAGATTTTTGGGCTCTCATATAGCTGGTTTCTTACACAATAACAACTGTGAGTGTAATTCACATAGCAGTTTGTTTATAGCTAGTCTGATGATTCATATAACAGGTCCTCTGATTCATACAGTGGGTCCTCTGTTTCAAGGATACGCATCCTGTCATTCAGGATTCTAATTTCTGGGAACTCTAACATCTACCACATTTGTCGCTGCTCAGAGAAACACAGTATCAAATGATGCAAAAAACCAACAACCCAAATCCACTTGTTGTGGCCTACAGTGTGTAGATATGAATTGACCACACTGATTGTTGACATGACGAGAATATAAAACACTATCTGTACTTACGTTTTCTCAGTGATGGAACTATGTTCTGCTGTTGAGATTGTTAAGATGGCAATATTATTGTATCAGGAATTTGGGGGGTGGGGGTGGGGAGTTGACCTAGGCAGCACAGATATAGGCAGCATTTGTTTGCTTATAAATGTTGTCTTAATGTACACTTTGTATTCTTGTTGCTATATTGTTGTTACTGTTTATATGTTAAATTATTGTACATGTTAATTGTTATGTTATTCCTGTTCCTATATTCTTGTTACTGTTTATATGTTGAATTATTGTACATGTTATGTTATTCTTGTTCCTATATTCTTGTCACTGTATGTTGAATTATTGTATATGTTATGTTATTCTTGTTCCTATATTCTTGTTACTGTTTTGTATGTTGACTTACTGTACACATTGTATACTTGTTCTTATATTTTTGTTACTGTTTGCTTGAAATGAACTTGTTAATGTCTCCTTACTTGAGGTACACTTGTTGTTTATTCACTTGCTATTGTACACTTGTTAATGTTTATTTGGCACTGTTGCCTGCTGAGTAAACTTGATAATTTATGTTTGTGTATTTTCTTATTTAACTTTCTGTTAAAGTGGACTTGGGTCTACTTTCTGTTTGCCAGTTATTGTATAAGACTTATTGTTTAACTTTTATCTGGTGCTGTTTGAGATTGTCTGAGGTGGGGTACTGTGGTTTAGTGAATTCAATAATTTGACTGTAATATAGTAAGTTGTGACTGCCAACATTGAATTGTAAAGTTAAAATGTTTAAAGATTTAGTGCGATGTATGAAATTATCAAGTAAAAAAAAAACAACACTGGTTGTGGTACTTCATGGCTTGCTGTCATGTAAGTTTGAACTGGTTGATATAAGGCAAGTTAAAACTGTTTTATTTTGTGTTGGAAACCCAAAATTGTGCTTATGAGAAAATGGTTTGACGTTTTTAAAAGGAAGATTTTTAATTGAATGCTTTGTGAAACCAGGTTTTATTTACTGTAACTGTAATGATTGTTATTTTTACTGCATGTATTAATTGTATTTGAGTAGTTTTTAGAGTGGAACTGTCAATAAAACACTTAAGCAAAACGTTTGGGTTAGTGTTGTATTTGTGTGCCCTGTACTTAATTTAGTGGCAAGAGGCTAGATACGTCTTCGGTAAAGGTGGACAAAGAGGGGGGTATGCATACACAGGGGATTAAATTACCTGTGTGGTAATATCGGGGAGGGCGTAGTAATGTCTTTTTGTGGTGGGCTGGCCACATCCGGTGGTCCTCCTATCTTGGACACAAATTGTGGTCCTATCCTCGACACGTGAGGCGCGTGAAATGTGCACGTGCGTGAGTATCTTGTCACCATCTTTGTGTAAACATCGATCACCACTATCCGCCACAGCAGCTTTAGGTTCTCGTCAAACAAACACGAAAATGCGCCGTAGCTCATCTCGTCCGTTGTGGTATGTAATCAGACGTAGAAATCGTGTCATGAGAGTACTCAGTTCGATACTTGTAATCAGTTCATGTTTTCTTATCTATTTGATGATAACGGATCGGACGCTGCAGCCATATCGATACCAAATTCCAACAACTCGAAGGGCTATTACACCAAGGTAATTTCTCTAATTATTGTGTTGTATGGTGATGTATTTACGGGTAGTCTATTTTCAAATTCCCACACAAGCCACACATACACATTTAGTAGCACGAGTCAGAAATCTATAGACAAGATAGTCTTTCTTATTCAATAAGTTATTATACTACTTGTTTCAAATGTAACACACTACGATAATTATGTTCGCGTACACAGTAAACCCCACTTTGTACTGTTCTAAGTTAAGTAAATCCTTTTTACTTTCTCGATTATACGAAGTATAGAGAGTCTTGTAATCGTGCAAAAAAAAAAAAAAAAAAAACGTGATTTTTACAAATCTCGACGTTTTACACCTCACTGATACGGAAAAACATAATTTAGCAATCTTGTCCGTATGTCTGTGTGTGTGTGTCTGTGTGTAAACACGATTACTTGAGTACCGTTACAGCTAGGTTGATGACATTTTGAATATAGGTATTTTATCAAAATCGTAGATCCGTATCAACTTTTGAGCGATTTCCGATAACCGGAAGTGGTACTTTTTCTACTTTGAATTTTTCAAAAGCCTATAACTTGAGTACTATTTCAGATAGATAAATGAAAGTTCACATGTAAGTAAAAGATCTAATTCTCTACCTTCTTTCAAATTTTGAGCAATTTCTGTTGACCGGAAGTAGTAATTTACGCTATTTCCGATTTCTCAAAAAACTAATGTAAATTTTTAAAGTACTAATAATATTGCGCACTATTATGCACTTTTTTATTTAGCGTTCACTTGGTGTGCAATTCTTTTGTCTACGAGATTTTATTCTATTTTTAAAACTTTAAGTATTTAAAATGGATTAAAAATCATGTCTATAGCCCGAGTTCCCATCCCCTGTTATTTTATATAAACATATTCGAGAAAGTTTAGGGGAGATCACTCCCGGTTTATTTACTTGAGTTAAGTCAGTTTTAGCGAATTTAAATATTCTAGTTGTATCATAGCTATTGTTTTTACTTACAAATTAATTTTAAATTTCTTTGACAGCCAACGCATACACCCTGTGTGCGTGCATACACGTCCATGTGCGTGCGTGCGCCTGTGTGTGTATGTATGTGTGTAATGGAGTACATCACAACACAAAAACATGTTCAACAATGTTTCAGTTAAACGATTGCGTAAAGGCGAAGACACAACAGAGAGTTTTTTTAAAAAAATCAATTCATAAAATATATGAAAAATTAAAATGACTTTTTTTAAAAGTTATATTTTGAATTAAAAATTAATAACATATTACCTGCTATACAAACATTTCCCCATTTTCGTATACACTGCTACATTCTATTGAAATAAATTGCAGCTCTTTTTAGTTTTAACCTAGCAACATATTTATAATTTTAAGGGGAGAACTCTAGCAATAATACAAGCACGTACTAAAACTGCTTTGGTATACAAAAACTGAAAATATAGATAACACAAAGATTAAAACATAGAATATTTGGATTTAACTATATAATTTGAGAAAAATAATACATCTTATTTATATAAAATTACAGATAATATATTTTTTTGACATTTTAAAACTCAAAGTAAAACCATACAAATATTTGTAAATATCTTATATTTAAAACATCTCACGTTTGATAAGGTTAATGATACTGGGATTTTTTTACTTTCTGATATATACGAAGTATATTTTGACGTTTTACACCTCACAGATATGGAAAAACATAATTTTGCAATCTTTTTTTTGTCCGCTCTGTGTGTGTGTGTCTGTGTGTAAACACGATTACTTGAGTACCGTTACAGCTAGGTTGATGACATTTCGTATATAGGTATTTTATCAAAATCGTAGATCCGTATCAACTTTTGAGCGGTTTCCGATAACCGGAGGTGGTACTTTTTCTACTTTGAATTTTTCAAAAGCCTATAACTTGAGTACTATTTCAGATAGATAAATGAAATTTCACATGTAAGTAAAAGATTTAATTCTCTACCTTCTGTCAAATTTTGAGTAATTTCCGTTGAACGGAAGTAATAATTTTCGCTATTTCCGATTTCTCAAAAAACGTATGTAAATTTATAAAGTACTAATAATATTGCGCACTATTATGCACATTTGGTTTTGGCGTTCGCTTGGTGCGCAATTCTTTTTTCTACTAGATTTTATTCTATTTTTAAAAGTTTAAGTAAACAAAAATCATGTCTATATTCCGATTTGCCATCCCACGTAATGTATTAGAATATTCGAGAAAGTTTGGGGAAGATCACTCCCGGTTTATTTTTTTTCTAGAAAAACAACCTTTCTTTTGAATATGTAAACGTATAAACCAAATTTCAATTAGTTTGCAATGAGATTTTCGAATGTTTATTTACAGATCTGAGACGATTGAAAAGTGGATTGTTTTAACTGGCGATGACGTCTCACTAATGGAGCCTGACAGTCTTGTTAGTGTTAGAGACTGGCACGTTTTGGTTGTAGGTGATGGCCAGGTGTCACCTGCCTGCAGGTAACTCAAGGTGACATGTCACCTGTAACTATAACAGACAGTGGCGTAGCGAGGTCGGGTGTCACCCGGTGCGGAACTTAATGGTGTCACCCCCAGAGGCGTAAC